GCTTATAACGGTGAGCTTGTGGGCTGTAAGTACCGATCATATATATAGTTGCTCTGACTTCTATCATCAGCAGGTTTATGAACATTTTGAATAAACTATGTAATATGAAGTGTCAGGCTTGACCCGTGTATAAGACTTATCTCGTGCACGGATCGTTGCTGTCGCGCACCCCGTATTTTATGAATTTTCGCTGCAGTTTTGGGGCGTAACAGTAAGATGGTATCAGAGCCTAGGTTTCGACGGTAGAAGCCTTGTAGGGCACGTTAGCATAGTGTATATGCGCTAGATGAGTGTTAGCGTATGGATCAACTATGTGATATATATGCATGTATACATATGTATATACATGTATGCATATAAATATTTTATAGTAAAGCATTTAGGTTTGTTAAGGAGTGCTTAGATATTTATTTTATTTCACTTTGTTCTTTTTCTTTAGTGAGCTGATGGATGGTTCCCCTTTTTGTAGGATGGCGGGAACCAATTCATCTTCCAATCCATCATCTACCCCGTCCAGTTCTATGATTTCTATAGATAGCTCCTGGGAACCCAGCTTAAGAGACTGGGGATACACTTCTGATGAAACTGACCCAAGCCTGATAGTGGCTAACCTTATGACCCCAGACTCATCGGAGGTCGAGCCAGTAGAAGTTATTATGATAGATTCATCAGAGTCTGTGGTTGATCATGCTGAGGACGAAGATATAGCAGTAGAAGTTATTTCAGTTGATTCATCACCTTCAGAAATCATTATAATTTCATCCGACCCCTCTGATATGGAGTCCTTGTAGCCCAGGTTCCTAGTAATGACCAAAGACTTGCCCCCTCTGGGGGTGAGTCGAATACCCTGGGGATTAGTCCAGACCTCGATCTGGAATGATGGGGGACTTCTGGCATTGATCCTGACCTCATGTCAGACTTCGACCATAGCCAGGACACAGAAGAGACTGAGCCGACCGAGGAGTCTAGCTCCAGCAGCTCCTGTTCTTCGAGGAAATAGAGTAACTGTTAGAACACTTTTGTAATATCATTATATGGGTTTTCGTAGTCACTCTTTTGGTATATGTAGGACATTTTGGTAGAAAATATGTATATATAAACCCATATACTCAGATATGTGTATGAACTAAAAAGTTAAATATTAATAATATATTTTTGGTTTGTAAATACTGATTTGTGTTATAATATTGAGTAATAATTGAATTCATAATTGCTTAAATTGTATATATATAGCTGACTTAGAAATTATTTCTTATATAATAATTGACCCAAACATTTTATTATTTATAGGAAGATATGGCTTCATGTAATGAGCAAACCCCTCCTAACGGAGATAGGGATCTAAATCAGACGATAGATGAAATGATGAGATCTAGAATTGCGCATGCATCCACCTCAGGAAACTCAGTAGACAACAATGCATTAATGGATCTGCTGCAAACGGTGACATCTGTAGACACCAGACAACAAGATGAAATCGATCGTAATCGGACGAATGGTCAAAACAAGGAGCACTCAAAATTAAGAAGTGGCATGGGAGAATTCAAGAAACTATCTGATGCGGGCATCCAGGAGCATACACGGGACTTTCGCCATGTCTATCAACGTAGGAGACGTCGCGCGCCAGCCTTGCACCAGATTCCTCTTATCTGGTTCTGATAGGATTGATGACAGATTCAGTAGCTGAGATTGATTAATCAGGGTCCCTATTCTGTTGCATTTTTGAATTTTGAATTGGACTTTTGAATTTCAAATTATGGTTTAAATTTGGTAGTTTTTTTTAGTTTTAATTGCTGAATAATTGAGAGAGATTCTGGGAGATTTCTAAATTTGTAATCTTTCTTCTAAAAGGAATGGATGTAATCAGAATGGACATTGAAGAATTAATGAAAAAAAATTCGTTGTTGAATTCTGTGGTGTGAAGCCTTGAGTTTGGGTGTGAAACCCTAGTTTCTATTTTTTTTAAAAAAAATCCATGTTCATCTTCTTCCTCCAGCAACCGCAACACCCATCGCCTCTCTCTCTCTCTTCAGTTGTCTCCCCACAAGCCCAACAGCAAATCCCATCTCCACATCCCTTACCCGCCACTCTGGTTTCCCTCCACACCGCGCCCACAACAACCCCAGATCCCACCTCCACCCCCCAAGCCCACCTCGCGATTCCTCTTCTCTCAGCCCCGCCAAAGCTCCCGAAACCATCCCCAACCGACGCCCCAATCCAACAGCACCCAGAACCCCAAACACCACTCGCCCTCCTCCCCCACAACCACCGACCCAAAGACAGACCTCCCCTCCCTGGTCTTCTTCCTCCTCTAGTCGACGCCTCGAGCCCCGGAGATCGTTGCCTGTTCGCCTCAACCCGCCGTCTTCACCCGCTCCGCCGCCCGCCTGTTCCTCTCCCTCTGTCGCGTCTTCTTCTTTTTCCTCAGAACAAAGGAAGAGGAGTACTGAGATCTGTGAACCCATTTGTTCAGGCCCCTATTTATTTGATTGGTTTATTTTGGTTCAGACCTGAACCGGATCTAAGTTGGTTCAGAATTATTTCAGTTTAGACCCACTCGTATTGTCAAATCTGCCGGAGCATAGTTATAGTCCGATTCTGTTGGCCATTGGTGCATGGCCGATCTTGACATTGAAGACGACGCACTCGTGATTGATGCAGATACTGGCGTGGTTGATCTACATCTTTCCCCGTGGTTTGATTATCAATCATTCGAGAGCGTGCCCGAGTACGTTGAGCGTGTGACTCATCAGATCATCGACAGCGTTGAGAGTCGCTTGGGAATTAGTTCGTGGCATCGACGCTTCCATCCAGATACGCCACTCCATCCTAATTACGTCGCCCTCGGTGGAGAGCTTCCACCCCTCATATTTGGCGTCGTCGAACCACCTCCAGAGGATCCTCCCGTCGAACCAGTTTTATCTGACGAAGGTTTAATTTTCTTACGCCCAAGTATTTTCGGAATTACTATTGCGTGCATGTTATTATTAATTTTCGTATCAATTGCGATTATGATGTATTCAGTTTGATTAGTGAGTGAGCGAATCTGTTGCCAAGTATTTCTGCTTATCTAAATATTACAAATTGATCCATATTAAGAGAACGAATCATTACATTATTTATCGAAATAATTTTACAAAGGTTCAAACTTAGTACACTGCAATTTTTGCTCAAAAACCATCGTTCGCTTCATTTTATTCTTGAATTTCCTGCTTAGACCGATCGCATATTTGGTGAAGCATTGTTGTCGCTGATCTTGCACCTGCATATACATTGTTTCACTTAGACCGATCGCATATTTGGTGAAGCATTGTTGTCGCTGATCTTGCACCTGCATATACATTGTTTCATATCATTTTTGGTATCAGAGCATGGTTCTAGGTTAGGAAATTTTATTAGTTGAGTCTTTATATTAAAAAAAAAGTCATCTCTTTAGTTATTAGTACACACATTTCATCTCATTTACTTGTTAGTGCATGCCCACTCGCACCGGTCTACCCTATCGTTTAGGAGAGTCAAGTGAGTCGACTAGTGAGTCCAGTATGTCAGGCAGCAGTGATCCCGAACTCCATAAGAAACTCGATGAACTAGCAGGGCAATTAGGTGTCGTAGTCCAGGGTTTAACAAATCTCCGAAATGAAACCAACAAAAAATTTGCTAGGCTCGAAGAAGCACGTGTTGCAACCCCACCACCGCAAGGTCAATGTTATGAACACATCGCCCCGTCGCTGCAGGGTCAAGGCTATGGAAACATCGTTCAGTGGCTGTCACATCAACCGGTACCTGATCCGGATGCACAATACCTGAGGAGTATTAAGGTCAGCGCACCAACCTTTGACGGCAAGCTCGACCCACAAGCTTTTCTGGACTGGTTGAAGAACATGGACCACTACTTCGATTGGTACGTCCTGACGGAACCCCGAAGGGTCAAATTTGCAGCGATGAAACTCACCGGACCCGCTTGCCAATATTAGACCAACCTCGAAACACTGAGGCATATTAGAGGTGAGTTGCCAATTACAACTTGGCGGGAAATGACTAATGAACTAAAACAGAAGTACCTTCCGCCATCATTTTATCATCGATTGCTAGACAAGTGGCATCGTCTCACTCAAGGCACCAAATCCGCAAAAGAATATGTTGCACAGTTTGATGAACTGTTACTCAATGCAGCACTATTGAGCAAGAGGCGCCAATGAAGGTTTTATCAAAATTTAGAGCTGGATTGAGAAGCGATCTGCAAAACGAACTCTTTGCTAGGGGAATAGACACTCTTGAGAAAGCTTACGCATTAGTTCAAGATCTAGATGAAGCCAAATCTCATCAATCTTATAGGAGTCAGGATTTTAGAACTCATTCTTCCCAATCTTCCCGTGCCACTACTTCTAGTCATCCTCCGAGTCGATCTAACCCCAGTTCGTCCCAGTCTAAAGTTGACCCCAAAGGTAAGGAGCCAGAGAAAGATTTCTCCAAGATTGGCCATCACGTCAAGTGCTACAAATGCCAAGGGTATGGGCATGTTTCTGCGAACTGTCCGACCCGTCACAAGATTGCTATCATCGATGGCCAATACGAATACGAACCTGAACCTGACAGCGACGAGTTTGTCCATCAAGTTGACGATGATACCGATGATTTCGAGGGTGATGCAGATGACACTATCTTAGGTTGTCTTAGGCAAATTGAAACTCCTACCGTATCAGTTGTCAGATGCGCCATTTCCCAACCCAATGTTGTTGATGATTAGAGACGTACTTCCATTTTCCATACGTTCACAAAGATTGGTGATAAGAATTGTAAAGTGATCGTGGACAGTGGAAGCTGTATTAATACGGTCTCCTCAGCTGTGATCGCCAAGCTTGGTCTTAAGGCTGTACCCCATCCTAATCCATACAAGGTATCGTGGATTAACGACACTGCACTCAATGTCCAAGAGAGATGCTTAGTCCCTCTTCAATTTGTCATTTATAGGGATAAAGTTTGATTCGATGTTCTAAAAAATGGATGTGGGTCAAATTATTCTTGGAAGGCCCTGGCTGTTTGATAATGATGTTCATATCTTCGGACGATCCAACATGCTATTATTCGAGCATGACGGGAAAAAGGTCAAGATCCTTCTGGTTCAACCGAAAGGTAGTGACAAGAAGCCCGATCCAGACAAATCTTCCCGAGGTGTTAACCTGATTGGGGCTAAAGAAATCGATCATGAACTGGCCAATGGAGCTCCCGTATTCGCCCTCGCTGCTCGAGAAGCCCCTAAAGATGTTGTTGACGTGGTCCCTCCAGAAGTCGCTCCTGTGTTGGAAGAATTCGCTGATGTCTTCCCTGAGGATCTCCCGGACCAATTACCCCCGATGCGTGATATCCAACACGCAATTGATTTAGTCCCGGGAGCAACTCTTCCCAATTTGCCTCACTACAGAATGAACCCCAATGAGCACGCAGAGCTGAAGAGACAAGTTGATGAACTGCTGAAGAAGAGCTTTGTCAAAGAAAGCATGAGTCCCTGTGCGGTCCCCGCATTACTGACGCCAAAGAAAGACGGAACATGACGTATGTGTGTGGATAGTCGTGCGATCAACAAGATCACTGTGAAATACTGTTTCCCCATTCCCCGGTTGGATGATATGCTTGACCTTATGTCTGGAGCCACTATCTTTTCTAAGATTGATCTTAAGAGTGGCTACCATCAGATTCGCATCCGTCCCGGAGACGAATGTAAGACCGCCTTTAAAACAAAAGATGGGTTGTACGAATGGATGGTCATGCCCTTTGGCTTGACTAACGCTCCGAGCACTTTTATGAGAGTGATGACTCAAGTACTCCGCCCATTTGCGGGAAAATTCTTGGTGGTGTACTTCGACGATATCCTCATTTATAGTAACTCTCGTGAGCAGCACGTGGACCATCTGCGTCAAGTCTGTACTGTGCTAAGAAAAGAGCAACTCTATGCTAATCCTAAGAAATGTACTTTTCTTACACACCAAGTTATTTTTCTGGGATTTGTGGTCTCTTCTGAAGGAGTATCCGCCGATCCTGAAAAAGTTAGAGCTATCGAGGAATGGTCCGAACCCAAGAACATCAGAGATGTTCGAAGCTTTCACGGACTCGCTACATTTTATCGCCGGTTTATAAAGGGTTTCAACACCATCATGGCCCCTATTACCGATTGCTTGAAGAAAGGTGAGTTCGAGTGGTCAAAAGCTGCTACCAAGGCATTTGTAGAGATCAAGCAAAGAATGTCGCGGACACCTGTTATGCGTCTGCCCGATTTTTCTAAGGTCTTTGAAATTGCGTGCGATGCCTCTGGTATTGGTATAGGTGGAGTCCTATCTCAAGAAGGACATCTTGTTGCTTACTTTAGTGAGAAGCTGAATGATACTAGGCAACACTATTCCACCTATGATAAAGAATTCTATGCGGTTATACAATCTCTTTGCCACTGGCGCTATTATCTGCTACCGAAAGAATTTGTTATATATTCTGACCACGAGGCCCTTCGATATATTCACTCCCAAAAGAAGCTGAATGCGAGACACGGTCGTTGGGTTGAGTTCCTTCAGGACTACACCTACACGATTAAACATAAAGCGGGAGTAGAGAATAAAGCCGCTGATGCACTCAGTCGCCGCATGCACCTTCTCTCTATCATGAGTGCGGAAGTAGTTGGCTTTGAGAAAGTCAGAGAACAGTATGAATCGTGCCCTGATTTTAGCGAGGTTTATACTTTGCTGAATGATGGAGTGACCCGTGAAGTTGATGGCTTTCTCCTGAAGGATGGATATCTTTTCCATTTTCGCAAGTTGTGTATTCCCGACACCTCTCTGAGAGAATTCTTGATTTGGGAATTACACACTAGAGGTCTTGCAGGACATTTTGGGAATAACAAGACTGTTGAAGCAGTTGAATGTCGTTTCTATTGGCCAAGTATTAAACGTGACGTTGTTAGGCTAGTGGGTCGATGTCACACATGTCAACTAGCTAAGCAACGTAAACAGAACACTGGCCTGTATACTCCTCTTCCTGTCCCAAATTGTCCCTGGCAAGATGTCAGTATGGACTTCGTGTTAGGACTCCCGAAGACAATTAGAAAACACGATTTTGTCCTTGTTGTTGTGGACCGATTCTCCAAAATGGCCCACTTCATACCGTGCTCCAAAACTTCCGACGCTTCTCATGTGGCCAAGTTATACTTCAACAAAGTTGTTAAACTGCACGGACTTCCAAAAAACAATTGTGTCTGATAGGGATGTTAAATTCACTAGTTATTTTTGGAAAACCCTTTGGCACAAAATGGGAACCAAGCTTCAATTCTCAACAGCTTTTCACCCCCAAACCGATGGTCAAACTGAGGTAGTCAATAGGAGCTTAGGTAACCTTTTGAGATCGCTAGTCGGTGAGAATCTTAGGAATTGGGATCAACATCTGCCTACTGCTGAATTTGCTTATAATAACTCTGTTAATAGGTCCACAGGTGTCAGTCCAGATGAAGTTGTGTATGGTTACAAGCCTAGACAGCCAATAGATCTTGTCCCCGTGTCTGCACATCATAGAGTATCTGAATCAGCATTTGCATTTGCATCTCGCATTCATGACGTGCATAAAGAAATCAGCATAAAGATCAATGACAATAATGCTAACTATAAAATGCGGGCAAATCTAAGGAGGTTTAAAGAGTTTAGTGTTGGTGATTATGTGATGGTCCGGATACGTCCGGAACGGTTTCCTCCGGGAACTGTTAAAAAGTTGCATGCACGATCGGATACGTCCGGAACGGTTTCCTCCGGGAACTGTTAAAAAGTTGCATGCACGAAGTGCAGGACCTTTTAAAATTCTCAAGAAAATTAATGATAATGCTTATGTTCTCGACCTTCCTGAAGGTTTTAATATCGGTTCGACTTTTAATATTGAGGATTTAGTAGAGTACAAAGGTCCCCATTTTAACCCTGATAACCCACTGGTTGATGAGCCTATCCCTGAACCTATTTCTGAGAGCTCCCCTTTACCTCCACTTCCCCAGATATCACCCACATATACAGCACATGACATTCCTTTACCTCCACTTCCCCAGATATCACCCACATATACAGCACATGACATTGATACTATTATTGATGATAACATTGTTTCATGACATTGATACTATTATTGATGATAACATTGTTTCTACTAGCAATGGTGGTATCCGCAGGTACTTGGCACGTTGGAAAGGACGACCTGAGTCTGATGACACTTGGCTTGATAGGGATGACTTAAAGAGGCTGGATCCAGATCTTCTTGAGCAGTATGACAGCCATCTTGATTCACACTCGACAGGGTCGAGCTCTCTCCCACCTGGGGAGAATAATGCGGGCATCCAGGATCATACACGGGACTTTCGCCGTATCTATCAACGTAGGAGACGTCACGCGCCAGCCTTACACCAGATTCCTCTTATCTGGTTCTGATAGGATTGATGACAGAGTCAGTAGTTGAGATTGATTAATCAGGGTCCCTATTCTGTTGCATTTTTGAATTTTGAATTTGACTTTTGAATTTCAAATTATGGTTTAGATTTGGTAGTTTTTTTTTTAGTTTTAATTGCTGAATAATTGAGAGAGATTCTGAGAGATTTCTAAATTTGTAATCTTTCTTTTAAAAGGGATGGATGTAATCAGAATGGACATTGAAGAATTAATGAAAAAATTTCGTTGTTGAATTCTGTGGTGTGAAGCCTTGAGTTTGGGTGTGAAACCCTAGTTTCTATTTTAAAATAGAAAAAATCCATGTTCATCTTCTTCCTCCAGCAACCACAACACCCATCGCCTCTCTCTCTCTCTTCGTTGTCTTCCCCACAACCACAACAGCAATCCCATCTCCACATCCCTACCCCGCACTCTGTTTCCCCTCCACAACCGCCGCCCACAACAACCCCAGATCCCACCTCCACCGCCACCAAGCCCCACCTCCGATTCCTCTTCCTCCCAACCGACGCCCCAATCCAACAGCACCCAGAACCCCAAACACCACTCGCCCTCCTCCCCCACAACCACCGACCCAAAGACAGACCTCCCCTCCCTGGTCTTCTTCCTCCTCTAGTCGACGCCTCGAGCCCCGGAGATCGTTGCCTGTTCGCCTCAACCCGCCGTCTTCACCCGCTCCGCCGCCCGCCTGTTCCTCTCCCTCTGTCGCGTCTTCTTCTTTTTCCTCAGAACAAAGGAAGAGGAGTACTGAGATCTGTGAACCCATTTGTTCAGGCCCCTATTTATTTGATTGGTTTATTTTGGTTCAGACCTGAACCGGATCTAAGTTGGTTCAGAATTATTTCAATTTAGACCCACTCGTATTATCAGATCTGCCGGAGCATAGTTATAGTCCGATTCTGTTGGCCGTTGGTGCATGGCCGATCCCGACATTGAAGACGACGCACTCGTGATTGATCCAGATACCGGCGTGGTTAATCTACATCTTTCCTCGTGGTTTGATTATCAATCATTCGAGAGCGTGCCCGAGTACGTTGAGCGTGTGACTCATCAGATCGTCGACAGCGTAGAGAGTCGCTTGGGAATTAGTTCGTGGCATCGACGCTTCCATCCAGATACGCCACTCCATCCTAATTATGTCGCCCTCGGTGGAGAGCTTCCACCCCTCATATTTGACGTCGTCGAACCACCTCCAGAGGATCCTCCCGTCGAACCAGTTCTATCTGACGAAGGTTTAATTTTCTTACGCCCAAGTATTTTCGGAATTACTATTGCGTGCATGTTATTATCAATTTTCGTATCAATTACGATTATGCTGTATTCAGATTGATTAGTGAGTGAGCGAATCTGTTGCCAAATATTTCTGCTTATCTAAATATTACAAATTGAACCATATTAAGAGAACGAATCATTATATTATTTATCGAAATAATTTTACAAAGGTTCAAACTTAGTTCATTGTAATTTTTGCTCAAAAACCATCGTTCGCTTCATTTTATTCTTGAATTTCCTGCTTAGACCGATCGCATATTTGGTGAAGCATTGTTGTCGCTGATCTTGCACCTGCATATACATTGTTTCACATCACTATCTCCACCCAGTTTTAAGGGAACAACTGATCCTATAATTGCAGTGCATTGGATCACAGAAATGAAAAAGGACTTCACATACATGAGATGCCCTGAAGAGGAAAAGGTTGATTATGCAGTGTACATGTTAAAAGACCGCGCTTACGGGTGGTGGCAAATACAGATCAGGACATTGGGTGAGAAAGCATACAAGATATCATAGGAGGAGTTTAAAAAGATTTTTTATGAAAAGTATGTTCCTTCAACTGTTCGCAAACAAAAAGAACAAGAGTTTCGAAAATTGGAGCAAGGTGATAAGACAGTAGCTAAATATGAAGAGAGTTCATTTATTTATCAAAATTTGTCACTCACTTGTTAGGTAAGGAGGAGGATAGAGTACGTCGCTTCGATGAAGGGCTTCGACCGGACATTCGGAAGGCGGTCAGTGCATTTGAACTCCCTATATATGGAGAAGTATTAAAGAAGGCCTTGTTAATTGAGAAAAATAAAATTGATACAAAA